CAACTCTATTCGAAACACCTTATTGTTGTTTCTGATGGAGCAGAGTCCTTATAACGCTTTTCAAGCCGTTGCTTCGCTCAAACAATATTTTTTCCATCAAGAAGCAGTGTGAAATTAAAACACGAAATTATTTTTAATCCATTGTTTTGAAAATAACAAAGGTGTCATTCTTCCAACAGCTTACTTTTGAACTGAAAAAGCGGTTTATGCAATGAGACTAGCGCCAGTCGGCTCCAGACTTTTAGCCCATGTAGTATTTGGTTTATTTCGACGATTGTGTTTCTCAAGCACCACATAACGCTTAAATTATATTTTTTATTTACTGTCTCATCTTCTGGCAATAATTCTGAGTGCACAACTCTGCACTAATAAAAAAAACTGTAAAGTTCAGTTGAAAATGTTGATTGCCGACCAGAGCGAAGCAAATCTTCCACCACATCTCAACCGCTATTAAATACACGGTTCCACTTCTACGTACGTATTTTTAATAAAGTCGATTCACAGTAACATTTTCAGCGCTTCGTCACACAAAATTCCATTTGCAATGCAAAATTTAAGACAGATTCTGTGTTTGATAATTCTATGTATAGTAAAAATCGCAAAACACGTTTGAGGTTAATTAACAAATACCTACTGTAGGCAATCTAAATGACGGATGGGGCTCAAAATCCGCGTGATTTTAGAGGACAGTTTGGCCAACCTAGCTACAAAAATTATTTTAGCAATTCCTTCGCGCGGGCTTTTCAAACGAGAGTCATTGCTGTTCAATCTCTTGTGAGGGGTACATGTCTAAAAAAGTGGAGGGGATCAAGTGGCACAATATTTTGAAAACATTTTTCGCATATTTCCAATAATATCGTTTTTTATTATTTTTGACAAGTGATTTTCGAAAATTTACTTTTTAAAATTATTGAAAAAATTATAATGTGCCTGCACTTAGAACAGTGGTTAAGGGATTTTTATTAGAACAAAATTATCATTATCAATTTGTGACATTGCAAAAATGAAATGCAATTGGTCTATTTACTCGCTATTTTACAAACTGTTCGAAATGTTATTTGTTGTGCCCTGAACAATTATCGTATAATGTAAACTGCAGGAGTTTCATAAATAACGGATTTGAAATGCTCTCGAGTAAAGAAGTCTATGGAAGTTAAATCCGGTGACATCGGAGGCCATTCAATTGCTTCCGTTTTACCAAAGCAGAAATCTTTCTTGTACTAAATAATTAGGTGAATCACCATCCAGCAGAAAATGTGAGAGATCCACTTGTGAATCTAAATTACCTTTGGCATCTAGAAACAGGAGGAACAATTAGGGTGTTTGCAGAAAAACATAATTTCATCTCGAAACATATATACGCTTATCATCACTTCATTAGCAACTATTTCGTTTTTTAACAATGCTTGAATATTAGGGATGCAACAAATTAACTAAGTGAGCTATATTTTTATGAAAATGTATTCTAGTATCAGAAATACATTCAAAGAGCTCTTGAAGGATCTATAAGGATGAAATTTATGGATTTTCACTTCTTTTTTTAGTCTTTCCTGTCATTGTTGTCTATTCTTTCAGAATTTCGAAAGTATTTGGCAACAAATCAAAAACGTATCTGTGAATTAGTGTGACTTTCATCAGGAATAGGATTTCGGTAATTTCTGCTGCCGCAGTTTTTGGTTGATTGGTTGAACCACCAACCAGACATAAAAACTTGGCAAGTTGACTTGGGTGTCAAACCAATAGGTGGTTCCACTCATCTATTGCCTTACTAAGAGTTGTCCATCTTCGGATAGAAATTAACATTGAAATCTCCTGCTGAAATTAGTGGCAACGTATGATAGTTTTCTATCCCCTGAAGTAATATACGAAACGTAACTCTTTCTATCTTCACTGACTTATACTGGGAAATATGATCAAATATGTGACATTCTGTTCCCGAAATATTTACGTGTTTTTATAAAAATCATTAGACAAAAGGTTACCATGTGCAAAACCAGGTGAGTGATTCATGAATGTTGAGAGAATCTATTCTAACAGGAGAAAATAAATGTTCATTTGTTCGAAACACTATCAAAAACACGCAGTTTTCAATAACGTCCATTTGACACGTGACCTATTGGTAATGGATATGGCACGTGACGGATCATATGTACGGCCGGAAGTGATACTTGTATTATTCACTCTTTTGTCTTCCGGCGGTGATCATTAATGGTGATACATTACTATTTCATATTAATTTTAATGTCCTCAAATCTACAAGTAAATGGTAGGTACTTGGGTGACAATGTTCAGACAAATGAGTTTTTTATATCTATCAAATCATAATTTATCACCGGGGTAGGTATAATGAATTAATAAGATGTAAAGAGCCCCATTTTTTATGAAATAAAAATCGAATAGAATTGAACTATTCCTGATCACAAAGACAAATGCGAGATCAACATTTTACGTAAAAAGTCTCTCTCTTCCTAACTTTTGAAAAAAATGTCGGACAAAATGAAAGAAAGTATCATTTTTAGTAGTTTGTGTGATCTGGTTTAGTGCAACTTTGTTGAAATGGATCACTTTTCAAAATATCTCGATTGAAATGGTATGTAAACACTGAAAAAATTATTTAGTTTGAACAAATCCCAACAAAAATCCATAATTTCCTTCAAATAAACTGAGGCAAAAAGTCTATAGTTGGGCTTTTATCAAGATAACAAATAAACATAAAATTACTGAATCAAATGTTACCTTACAACGACTATTAGACGAAATTATAGAAGCAAGTGAGGTCAGACCACAACTGAATTTGGAAGAATTGAAAAGTTGAGGTGTGAGTTTAGAAAAAGAAAATCAAGAATTAAGGGAAGAAGTAGAGAAGTTGAAAAACTCTGAGAAAAGAAACAATGTGGTAATTTCCGATTACTCAAAAAGAGCGAAGCCCCTTCTTGTACTACTTTATGCCAAAAACTCAAAACACTCTTGTCCATCTCGATTTACTACAGAGATACTAAAGATTTTTACTTTCTCGGAAATACTGAAGAAAGCCAATTGAAAGTTCAATTCAGTACATTTCTAACTGAAAAAAATCTGCGAAATAAACAGCAACTCAAAGGTAAAAATATTAGTATTGTTACGTTTTTTCTCGTGGGTTGATCAATAATTGACTACACCGAATAACCAAACTCAACTTCATTTCATTTTAAATACAATAAACACTTCAACTAAAACTTCAACTATTATAAGAATGTTTATCGCCTTACTAAATCGCTTCGCGAACCGCACTGTAACTTCCACTTGACTGTGTCAAAGATCTGCCGAAAACCAAACGACTATCGATTGTGATCCTAAGTCAAAGACCCG